GTTTCAGAGGTCATACTGCCTCCGTCATCAGGGCGATGAAACGTTGGTTAACATCGACCAGACTACATGACGCTACAACCCAGAAGACAGCCATCTTCAGACTCACCGCCTCTTAATACATCAAATCCTACATGTTAGATGTAATTTGATTAATATATTGAGAGGGAGTCATATATCTGGATGACAGGGAACATTTTTTTTTAATATTATTCACAAATCAAAGAAAATATATGCATACAGTGTGCTCATTAGAGATTTTTTCTTTGAATATGCTGCCTTATATACATTAATATTAGGTCTATAACATTTATCAGGATAAATTTAATTTGAACAAATTTTAAATAATTTTTTATTTGTATTAATTTTTGAGGATTGATATTTTGAATGGATTACGTTCTGTTAATGTCACCAAAAATTCTGAGTGCGTAATTCTCGCAAATTGTCTGCCCAGGGAGGAGTTTTTAAATTAGCTGCTTGATATATCGTTGATGTCACAACAAAGTTATCTTCAGTCGTGGTGTAAGGTCACCGATATTTACAAATAAAAAAAAAAGGAATTATTTAGTGTTGCAACACTAAACTCATGAAGTACAGCAGATGTTTGATTTGACGTCAGTTTATTTTTGGATTCATACAAAAGTAATAGTTTTAAATACAGTACCTGAGCAAATAGTTCTTGGTTTGAATCCACTTCATAATTATGTTTCTGAGCAAAAATTAAAGCCATTGACATCGCAATAGTGTAAGCTACCATCGTGATGGTGAAGCTGTCTATGAAAATTTTTGGAAGCAGTGAGAATGCTGGCAGTGTCGGATATGGCAATCTGAGGACAGATAAAATTATTACAATGTGATGTCACGTGGTATGTTCTTCATTCCATTAGTCACTTGTTTATAATTAATAAATTAACCATTGGCTAGCGACAGAAAAGGCTTTAACAACAAATTTGGATATTATCATTATATGCATACTGCACTCAAATCATAATAAATGTTACTTAGTTTAAATCTACAGTATCGAGGCTTGACTTTCTGATAATATTGGGTTTGCAGTGTGCTAAGTCTATGGCCATTGATCAGTTCCGTCTTACTGTGGGCTAAAAAACACGCTTTTCCTATGAATTAATATTATTTATTTATTTTATATGACCCGTTCTTCAGTGCCCGGGTCCCAACTTTTCGTTGGTTTGATCTATAGACGTTTGGTAGGACTCCTTGGATGAAGGATCGGCCCGTCGCAAGGCCTCTACCTGTAAACATGACAGCACAACACAGAAACACGCGTTCAAACATCCATAGCTTGAGTGGGATTCGAACCCACGGTCCCAGCGACCAAGAGACACAAGGCCCACGCGGCCACTGTGACGGCATGAATTAATATGTAGAGATAAAATACCTTGTAAGACTTGAGGTTCTCACAGCGGTGAGTATGAAGATTTCTGTCTTCTGGGTTATTGCGCTGTGTAGTCTGGTCGATGTTAACCAACGTTTCAGAGGTCATACTGCCTCCGTCATCAGGGCGATCGCAATAACCCAGAAGACAGAAATCTTCATAAAATACCTTTTTGTCACTTCTATTATATTATTATCATTTGTAGGACAAATATTTAACTAAGAGAACATGAAATATGTGTCTGAAATATTTAAATGTTTGTTTATCCTTTTGAGAATGATCGGATACTGTTCTTTTACAGTTATGTTGGAAGTCGTGGCAAGACCTTACTCGAAACATTTATCTCTTGTTTTAGCTCAGAATAGCAGTTAAAATTGTTCAGTTGAGTCCATAGTCAAATGAGTTTTATCAGTTTACCAGAATTATGACAACACCCACACACAAAGTTGTTTGCTGATACCAGTACCAAAGGATCTAAGCTGTTAAGAACTTTGCTCTAAATTGGACAATCATAAAATTTGTTCTTCAAATGAAATTGTAAATATCACTTGTAACTGATTACTTACCCTGTTGGAATATCACCCACGGGTTCTATCTCATATTTATCTTGCAGATTTAAATATGTAGATATCAGTGTTCCAGTTACAACAGCGATGAGTTCTATAGGAATTGGTATGACTGATCGTTTTCTCACGAAAGGCTGCCGACATAGATGTGTTATGCATTACAGTTTTCATTTAAATATAAATTATATTTTTATACATTTTTTTGTATGAAATTAATTCTTTTAAAATTAAAGTAACATTTGAACTGTTGGAATGATAATCATGGAATTCAATATTATTTTCTTGCATTTGAAATCTGTGAAAATTTTGATGATTTCAAATCAGTATTGCTTAATAATATTGCTACTGAGAAGTCAGAAATATTCCTATACAACATAAGAATAACTTTTTTAGTTTAAAACCGGTAATTATATTCAGTTCATGGGTGACTGCTTTCCTACTGACAGGATTGCACTGAATTTTCATAGCTACCGTGATCATACACGTGTGCTGGAAGAAGGAATTTTGTCTCTCTTGTACTCACCTTCAGGAATTCATTATTAATGACCAGCAAAACAATTGTTATCGAAGACACGACTAAAACAGCTAGATTAACTTCTTCAATTTTGTTGAATATCTCAATGTAGGTCTGAAAGTAGATCATATATTCTATTAAGTGTTTGCATTTAAGGTACTTGTGGGTTATCGGGACACGTAGCTTTAAAAATAGCTTAGGTTAGGTTAGGTTAGTTGTCATTTATTGAAATAAAGTATAATAACTTTCAAGTATATGTCATTTATCCACACACATTAACCTAACCTAACCTAATCTAACCCAACCTAACCTAACCCAACCTAACCTAACCTAACTTAACCCAACCTAACCTAACCTATTTTTAAAGCGATGTGTCCAGATAACCCACAAGTACTGAATTTAATATATACACATAAACATGTGCATTAATGCATGTTCATAGTAATTTACTACAGTTGAAATAATACTCACAAATCCTATGTTGAATGGTCCCTCATGTTTGGTAATTTTTAGCCCAAGTAAGTCTTTGACTTGAGACGTGAAAACGTGAATAGCAGCTCCTGTGGTGAAGCCGTTCACTAGGGTGTCAGACAGCAATGTACACACTATGCCCATTCGGAATACATACATCACCAGCTGCGAACGGTTAGAAAGAAACATTTTTAA